GCCACCATGCCCAGCTAATTTTTTGTATTTTTAGTAGAAACGGGGTTTCACCATGTTGACCAGGATGGTCTCGATCTCTTGACCTCGTGATCCACCCGCCTCGGCCTCCCAAAGTGCTGGGATTACAGGCTTGAGCCATCGCGCCCGGCCATACTCAAGTATTTCTTATTAGCTTCAAATGTCACTCTGTGTTGAACAAATACATAAAAACTATAAAAATTTCAGAGGCTTCATTTTGGGTTAAAATTCAGTAGAAGGCCAGACGTGACAGCTCATGCCTATAATCCTAGCACTTTGGGAGGCTGAGGTGGGTGATCCCTTGAGCCCAGGAGTTCAGTCCCAGCCTGGGAAACATGGTGAACTCCCGTCTCTACAAAAGCTACAAATATTAGTGTGGTGGCGTGCATCTCTGGTCCAAGCTACTTCAGAGGCTGAGATGGGAGGATCACCTGAGCCCAGGGAGATTGAGGCTCTAGTGAACCATGATTGGCCACTACAATCCAGCCCGGATGACAGAGCGAGACTCTCTCTCCAGAAAAAAAAAAAAAAAATTAGTAGAGATGACCCCCAAGATAGCAGATATAAGTTTGGATCTGGTTCTATTTTATAGCCTTACTTGAAATATAAAATATATACATGACACAGAGAGAATAAAACTGCTTATGATACAGGTTAGAAGAGTACAGATAGTAAGTTGAATCAAGATTTCAGGCCAGACGTTGTGGCTCATGCCCGGAATCCCAGCACTTCAGGAGGCCAGTTGGGCAGATTGTTTGAGCCCAGGAGTTCAAGACTAGGCTGGGCAACATGGCAAAACCCTGTTTCTGCAAATAATACAAAAATTGAACAGGCATTGTGGCTCACGCCTGTAATCTCAGCACTTTGGGAGGCCGAGGCAGGCGTTCAGGACCAGGCTGGTCAACATGGTGAAACAGTGTCCACTAAAAAATACAAAAAATTAACCGGGCATGGTGGCAGGCTCCTGTAATCCCAGCTACTCAGGAGGCTGAGGCAGGCAAATCACTTGAAGCGGGGAGGCAGAGATTACAGGGAGCGGAGACCACGCCATTGCACTATAGCCTGGGCAACAGAGCAAGACTCCGTTTAAAAAAAAATACAAAAATTAGCCAGGTGTGGTGGTGCACACCTGTGGTCCCACCTACTCAGGAGGCTGAAGTGGGAGGATTGCTTGAGCCTCGAAGGTCGAGGCTGCAGTGAGCCGTGATCATGCCATAGCACTTCAGCCTGGGAAACAGAGTGAGTGCAACTCTGTCTCAAAAAAAAAAAAAGAAAAGATTTCAGTGAATAGGAAAGTGCATTAGGTAGAGTCATTGCCAGGAGGGTATTGAGAGGATTGGGATTTTAACTGTCCTTGGAGATAGGTATACAGCAGCCAGATAGAAAGGGGTGGTGACTACACTCCATGGGTATAAAAATACTGAGGAAAAGCATGAATTCTTTGTTAAGTAATCAGGCCAGAGCAGAAGTACATTTTGGAAATCTCTGTGCTAAAAAGCCTTGTTCTCCTCAAGTGTGAAGTCACTGAGGTGTAAAGTGTTAGCCTAAATTTTCTCTCTTTGTAGAAGAAGGAAGCAGAGAAATTGGCCCGGAACATGGCCATCCAGCAAGAGCTGGAAAAGGAAAAGCAGAGGGTAGCACAACAGAAGCAGCAGCAATTGGAACAGGAACAGTTCCATGCCTTCGAGGAGATGATCCGGAACCAGGAGCTAGAAAAAGAGCGACTGAAAATTGTACAGGAGTTTGGCAAGGTGGACCCTGGCCTAGGTGGCCCACTAGTGCCTGGCTTGGAGAAGCCCTCCTTAGATGTGTTCCCCACCTCACCTTCAGACTGTCACACAGCTGTAAGGCCAGCTAAGCCACCTGTGGTGGACAGGTCCTTGAAACCTGGAGCACTGAGCAACTCAGAAAGTAGTAAGTGCATTTGCTGATATCCTCTTTATTCTCAGTTGCAGCCAAACAGATTATCATTCTGAGGGAGTCGTCCTAAGAATACCTCCCTGATCCCACTCATTAAGCTTTGGTCACAGAAACCCATCTGATAAGTATTGCCGTACTGTGTCCTAATATACTGGCCATGTTATAAAAGTAGCCTTTGCTTAAACCTGGTCTGGTTGGTTTTCTGAAGAGCTAGTACTATTCTTGAAAGTCAGACTGTCAACTTTTTTTTTTTTTTTTTGAGACAGAGTTTCGCTCTCGTTACCCAGGCTGGAGTGCAATGGCGCGATCTCGGCTCACCGCAGCCTCCGCCTCCTGGGTTCAGGCAATTCTCCTGCCTCAGCCTCCTGAGTAGCTGGGATTACAGGCACGTGCCACCATGCCCAGCTGATTTTTTGTATTTTTAGTAGAGACGGGGTTTCACCATGTTGACCAGGATGGTCTTGATCTCTTGACCTTGTGATCCACCCGCCTCGGCCTCCCAAAGTGCTGGAATTACAGGCGTGAGCCACCGCGCCCGGCCCAGACTGTCATCTTTTTAGCTGAAAGGAAAGGACTCTGCCAAACCTAATTCATAATCTTTAGCTACCATCATCAGACTGCTGTGCGACTATGTCTCCTGCTCTGACTTTGTTACCTCTCTAGCAATTCAGATCTTGCTGTTGAATATGCAAAAGCAGAACATCTCTTTTTCTTTTTTTTAATATGAAAATATAGTTGTGAAAGACACTTCCTAACTTTAGCTTGTTGGCTGTCTCAGAGTTTCTCCATGGTGTTCAGAAACTGGGTCCATTCTTGGCATTTTTTATGAGCTGCTTTGCTCATGCCTTTTTTTGGAGGACTACACTGTATTTTTTATTTTGTTGTGGCTTGGCATTTTAACTTTCTTCCAAAAGACTAAGTTCAGAAGTAAATAACTACCCAGATTGTTTTCCATTCTCAAGAATACATACTAGTATATTTCTTTTAAAGTCATACTGTCTGATATTCTTATCTGAGATAAAAGATTTAAAATTAAAAGTTCAGATGAATGGGCAGTGTCTTAGTCCGTTTTGTGCTGCTATAACAGAATACCTGAGGCTGGGTAATTTATAATGAACACAAATTTTTTTGGCTCATAGTTCTGGAGAGTGGGAAGTCCAAGATCCAGGGGCCACATCTGGCAAGGGCCTTTTTGCTGTATCATCCTATGACAGAAGTGTAGGAGGGCAAAAAAAGATTCCTCATAGCCTCATCACCCCCTAAAGATCCCACCTCGCAATAATTTTGCATTAGGAGTTAAGTTTCCAAAATAATGAACTTTGGGAGACACAGTCAAACCACAGCAGGAAGGTTTTGTTTTTAATCCTTTGTATTAGATTCTGACAGAATATTCCCAAATGTTTCAAGAGCTTTTCTCTTTTTTCCCCTCACCTAAATTTTATTTTTTGTGAATACACAGTAAATGTGTATATTTATGGGGTACATGAGATTTTTTTTTTTTTAATTGAGACAGAGTTTCACTCCTGTTGCTCAGGCTGGAGTGCAGTGGTGCGATCTTGGCTCACCACAATCTCCACCACATGAGATGTTTTGATATAGGCATGCAATATGAAATAAGCACATCATGGAGAATAGGGTATCCATCCCCTCAAGCATTTATCTATTGAGTAACAATCCAATTATATTCTTAAGGTTATTTTTAAGAAAGCTTTTCTTTTTTTTGAGGCAGAATCCCACTCTGTCTCCTGGGCCCCGGAGTGCAGTGGCATGATCTTGGCTCACTGCAACCCCCACCTCCCAGGTTCAAGCAGTTCTCCTGCCTCAACCTCCTGAATAGCTAGGATTACAGGTGCCCTCCACTATGCCCAGCTAATTTTTTGTATTTTTAGTAGAGATGGGGTTTCACCATGTCATCCAGGCTGGTCTCAAACTCCTGACCTCGTGATTCACCTACCTTAGCTGCCCAAAGGGCTAGGGTTACAGGCGTGAGCCAACACGCCCAGCAAGAAAACTTTGCTTAAGGTAGTAGTTTGCCCTTGTCTTAACTTGAATGATTAAAGCCTACTGTTTTGAAGTAATGTGCTCCTTACAGCTGTGGCCCAAGATTGGAGAAGGGACTTTACAACCCTTTTCTTTGGCGCCATTAGGATGAGATCCCCACTCACTACTTGAAGTTGGGAGGATCCCAATGGCTTAATGTTGCTCTCCCAGGGCTGCTGGCTGTGAGGTCTGCTTGGGGAGGCGGAGCTCAGTATTCTCAGACTTTTCTCCTTTCTCCATTACAGTTCCTACAATCGATGGATTGCGCCACGTGGTGGTGCCCGGGCGGTTGTGCCCCCAGTTTCTACAGTTAGCCAGTGCCAACACTGCCCGGGGAGTGGAGACATGTGGAATTCTCTGTGGAAAACTGGTAAAAACAAACAAACAAACAAACAAAAACTCTTCTCTGAGCTGAAACTGTTTCTTCCCCTCTTGGCATCCTGTGACTGTCAGAGAAAATATCCAGGGTCAGTTACTCTTTGTACTGATCCCTCCACTGAAGGAACTGTGGATTGCATAATTTTGTGTCACTTTGAATTTGGTGACTCTGTATTAATTGATTGAATTGAAGTGATTATTTTAATGCTAGTAGTAAGAAATACCTAATTTTAAATTTGGTGGGAAGATCCAGTCATTATCTACATATCAGTTTTTTTAGTACCTGCTTTATGGTAGGATCTGAAAATATAAAATATGTAAAGCACATAGTATGTGTCCACAAAAAGTGCTGAGTCACTTTGGAGAGAAGGCTGACATGCACTAAAATCTAACCAGCATGCTGAAAAATATGTACAGTGTAAGTATTGGGAATTTTGAGGAAGGAAAGGTCACTGAATGGAGGCACTTAAAGAACCTTTTACTGCTGAATGAATAAATAAATGAAGTGGAATAGATGTAAGCTGAGGCTTACAGGATAAGAAAGACTTAAGGAAACAGTGAAAGGAAAACTACTTTAGACCTGAGCAGAGGAAAAGAAATGATACTCTACCCATAGCTTCTAAGCAGATCAGTTTGGCACAACAGGAAATTCCCTCAGGGCTATGGTGATTGCCTGGGCTGCAGAGTTCTGGGGTTGGTCTCTGCATCTGTCACTGTACAGAGCACCCCAGGCAATGTGCATGAGCAGCCAAGGTTGTGAACCACTGAGTTGCAGGACTCCTGCTGTGTGGGAAGGGCTTCACATGTATAGATGCTTACCTTTCCACTGTTGGGATGGAGTGGAGCAGGATTGCATAAGCGCCAGGGAATTGTGACCAGCTGTTTTCTCCTTTGGCAGATGAGGAATGAATTTACCATTACCCATGTTCTCATTCCCAAGCAAAGTGCTGGGTCTGATTACTGCAACACAGAGAACGAAGAAGAACTTTTCCTCATACAGGATCAGCAGGGCCTCATCACACTGGGCTGGATTCATGTAAGCAATTCTGAGCTCTCTTAGAGTTAGTCTCCGCCTCTCCCATGGTGGTATAAATACACTTCGTGTTTCTTTCTTTGAACGAAGTCAATTATATCCAGATTATTTATTGTTCTTCTCTCTTTTGGATGCAGTCCTTAGTGGCATACTTGACTATTGCACTCCAGTATTGTTTTCTGGGAACACTTAGGACTTTTAAATTTTTTTAACTCTTTATTTATTTTTTAGCAAAAATAAACTTTTTCCCTAAAGTTCCAGTTTCCCTCTGAATGTGACTGGTGATGGGATGCTGGCCTAGAATATATGTGGACATTGACCTTAGAGATTATGCCTACTATATACAGATTATGTTCCTTCAAGGTATATAACTGAAAATACTTAACATGAGCCAAAGAGGTTATTTCAGATGCTTGCATTTGGTCTTTCTTAAAGCACCTTTATAGAAACAAGGAAGGGCTATAAATATACGTGATTTTCAAGTGTCTGCATATCTTGTGCAGCCTTCTGGTAATGTTCAGGTAAAATATAATGCCTTCCTTAAAGATTATTTTAAATTTTTCTTTCTATTGCTTTTCAGTCCCTTACTCTCATAGCCTAAACTTCATTTTTTGTTGTATGACAGAGTTACAAATGAATTGGCTTATTTTTGGTTTACATATACTTGTATGCCAGAATTTGGGAAAGACTGACCTACAAGGCAGTCCCATGTGCCTTCCGTCCTTTCTTCTGTTCAATTACATTCATATTGATGATTTGCCTATTATTGTGTATCCTCCCTCCCCCCATTGTAGTAGATGGAGGAGAGAAAACTTGTTCCTTATCTGCTAGGGAACACAAATTGGAGTAAGATATGATTTTAGCCTCAAGAAGGAGATTAAACAAATAGATAAGTAATAACTTCACCTGGGGCAGAATGTGCTAAGGGCCCCAAGAGGTACCAGCAGGGCACTGTGGAATTCAGAGGAAGGAGGGACCATGCTTGATAGGGTTTAGTAGCATGTTGACAAGCTGGGCCAAGGGCAAGTTCCTTATGGAGCGGACAGGTGGAGAAGAGGCAGACTCTGTTCCTGGAGCATTGGGTGGACCAGTTCGCTGGGATTTATGGTTCATATCAGAAAATTTTAATGTGGTATGTTGGAGCCATGTTCTGGAGGGTCTGGAGTAGACAGGCAGAATTGTTCCACTTTTTAGTAAATGGAGAATTCTTAAAGGTTTTTGAGCAGAGCAAGGATATGATTAAAGCCATACTTTAGAAAATTTAACATAAATACATTTTTAAGGTAGATTGTGGCAAGGAGGTGATTTAGAGGTTAATGTGCTGATAAAATCTAATAATGATGAGAGCTAGGGTGATGCCAGTGTGTTTGGGAAGGAGGAGATGAATGTAGAATTCCAGAGGATTTGGGAAATGAGTAATAGAGGATGATGACGCAGAATCAACAATGACTCAGAGATTTGGGGCCTTGCAGTGATCATCTCATAAGGAAAAGTAGAGAATCCAGGAGAAGGACTTGGTTTGAAAATGGGGTTCAGTTCTGAGCATGTCGAATTTCAGGTACTGGTGAGATATCAAATCATTGGAGGTAGTTATCAGGCAGTTAGCAATGGAGGGCTAGAACTTGGGAGCAAAGTCAAAGCAGGAGAGAGAGCTCTGGGAGTCCACTATATGATGCTGACCTTGGAAGCCTTGGAAGTAGGGGAAGAGTCTAGAGCAAGAAAAGGCTCACTGGCAACTTGTGGGAGAGACTACCTAAGGGAACATAGAATGTAGTTAGCAAAGAAGCAAAGAGATACATGAAAAAGGTGAGGGTAGTGTTAAGGCATGGAAGCCACTGGAGGCGGAAGGCTTTAAGAAGGAATTGCTGGATGTTAACCTTGTCACATGCTGTGGAGAGCTCCAGAATGATGAAGACTTGGATCGGTCTGGATTTGATGAAATTATTGAGGACCTTGATTTAGTGTGTTTCAGGCATTAATGGGAGTAAACTGTAAGAGTTTAAGAATTCATAGGGATTAAAGTTGTGGAGATAATGAAGTGTACACTACCATTTTGAGCAACTTACTGTAGAGGAAAGGAGAGAGAGAGGATGGTGGTTTAAGGAAAAGCTGGGTTGAGAGAATGTGTGATTGATTGTTCAGAGTGAAAGCTTGAACATGTGTTTTGTTTTGATTTTGTTTCTCAAAAGCTTTGCATTTCGAAATATAGCATATATATAAGAAAGCTCACAGAAACTAAATGTACACTTTAACAAATCATTAAGCAAATATCAATGTACACACACTACCTGGGTCCTCCCTCCCTTGCTTTGTTTATAGTTTTTCACCACCTCAGTGTGTACCCCTAAACACTACAGTCTACTTTCGCCTGGTTTTTACCTTTTTGTAAATGGAATTGTATCGTGTATATTTGTGTCTTGCTTCTTTTGCTCAACATTTTGTAGGTTGATCCACATTCTTGTGTATAGTTTTCTGAATATGTTCCTATGCCCAATGAGCCAACAATGGAGATGTAAAAGGGCAGGAGAGACAAGGTAATATGGTGATAAGGAAGGGTTAAATCAGAAGTACAAAGAAGGATTCATCTTCACAGGGGAAAAACATCCATTCCTCCAAGACAAGATTGAATGAATGGAAATGAAGATACAGAGAGATTTTTGAAACGATGTCTGGAAGAGTTGAGGCAACACATTTTAGGCAATCTTGACTTCAGTAAGGTTGGAGTCTAGGTCTGCTGTTGAGCAAAAGGGGCCAAGGAGGATTTAGAAACTGGAAGAGATGGGGGAAAGTTTAGAATCATTACTATTTAGACTTCAGGTAGAATTTAGCTACAAATGAATAAAAGAGTTTCTAAGTATCTATCAGTGAGGGCCCAGCTGGGAACAGATTTAGATAGTAAATTCACAGTAGTTCAGCTTTTTTTTGTTTTTTGTTGTTTTTTTTTTTGAGATGAGGTCTCACTATGTTGTTTATGTTGGGGTACAGTGGCTATCACAGTCCCAATCATACTGCAGTACAGCCTCAAGCTCCTGGGCCCAAGTGATCCTTCTGCCTCAGCCTCCTAAGTAGCTAGGACTACAACCATGCACCACTGTGCCCAGCTAGCTCAGCTTTTTCCCCCATATTTCTGCAGCATTCCTTCCTAATTCAGGATTAAAAACAAACAGGCTGAGTGTGGTGGCTCATACCTGTAATCCCAACACTTTGGGAGGCCACGGTAGGAGGATCACTTGAGCCCAGGAATTCAAGACCAGCCTGGGCAACATAGCAACATCTCATCTCTGTAAATTAAAAAAATTATGCAGGTGTGATGGCACACGTCTGTGGTCCCAGCTACTTGGGAGGCTGAGGCAGGAAGATCGCTTGAGACTGAGAAGTCAAGGCCACAGTGAGCCGTGATCACGCCACTGCACTCCAGCCTGGGCAACAGAGCAAAAACACTGTCTCAAAAACAAACAAAAAGTAGACCATAAGGTTTATACATATCTTAAAATTGGCCAGAGGAAAATGCAAAAGATCAGTTCTTCCTTCGTAACGTTGTCAACTATAAATCAGCTTCCCAGTTTAAAAACTTCATATGGTCATGGATTGATCCATTGTCAAACCTCCAACCCAGAACTCAAGGCACTTCTCATCATGTCTCAGCCCCATCTGAGCCATTTCCCTCTAGGGAAAATTTCCTGTCCAGGCACCCAGGCTGCCTTCAGCATTCACCCTCCTTGCTCATTTCTGTTCCTTTAGCATGTTGTGCCTTCCTCTACTCCCAGCAACATAGGCACAGTGAACGTAATGAACTATTCATTCAAGAAACTTGACTGTGAAAGGAAGGAGGGAGAGAAGGCACAGTAGTTAGGAGCAGGGGATCAGGGCAAAGTTTTTTGATTCCGTTTAATACTTGTTTACTGAGTCCCTGTCTTTTTATTATCCTTCTGGCTACCCACCTTTAGCATAAGGGCCTAGATTGGCTTGTTTAGGCCTAGTTTACTCCCAGTTAGAATCCTCAGCTCTAACCATGGAATGGAAGGTAGTATTGGCACAGGCCACTGCTCCTTAGCAGCCTAAAGGATTATTTTCTCATCAGGTAGAAACTTTGTGGTCACTGAAGTCCTTACATGCCCCATGAAGACTTGTGTGTGGATTTGCTGTGTGCACTCTGCTAACATACTCCTGCCCTGAAGCCTTCTTCCATAGTGAGCTCATCACAGCACCCTGTAGAATGGTGCTTCTCAGATAATGCTACACATTAGAATCACTTAGTGAGCTTTCAGTTGGGCGAGGTGGCTCACACCTGTAATTCCAACACTTTGGGAGGCCGAGGCAGGCAGATCACCTGAGGTCAGGAGTTTAAGACCAGCCTGACCAATATGGAGGAATCCCATCTCTATAAAAAAAATACAGAATTAGCTGGGCGTGGTGGCACATGCCTGTAATCCCAGCTACTCAGGAGGGTGAGGCAGGAGAATCACTTGAACCCGTGAGGCGGAGGTTGTGATGAGCTGAGATCATGCCATTGCTCTATAGCCTGGGCAAGAAGAGCAAAACTCTGTCTCAAAAAAAATATCACTTAGTGAGCTTTCACAAAAAATGTTCCTTCATGATGGTTATTTCCAGGGGTGGGGTGCAGGAGTCTGGGCTTTTGTCAAGCTCCTCAGGAGATTTGTTTTTTGGACAGCAGGTTTGAAAACGCTAGTCAGTTGTGTATCTTTATTGTCCGTGCTTTTCTGTCAGTGAAGGCTGGTTGTCTTTTTGAGTCATGCTAGATCTTTCTCTATTTTTATTAGCTAAGATCACACCCCCGTAAGATGAACATAAGTCATTATATAGTTGTCTGTTTTGTATACAAAGTATGTGTTTAATAAAACAAACAATGGAAACAAATTAAATAATCAGGATGCACATTTAGGTGATGCTTTAATTGATTAACCTCAAATTTTAGCATCGTGTTCTATTTCCAAACAGAATGGTCTCCTCTGTATGGTTTAACTATCCGCTGAAATTCAAATAGTCCCCTACCTCCCATATCTTTCTTGGATGATGCTTTAGCTACAGGACAGCCTTTGTCTATAGGACTCGATTCATGCTTGACCTTTTAACACCTCTGTGGGAAAGAAGAATTAGTCATCTAATTGTGGTTTACTAGTCCTTGACTTCTACCATGTTGAAATATTGGGCATTACCATCTGTTCCGGAATGGGTGACTTGATGGTATGGAGAGACCTTGTAAGGAACCAAATAAGTCTTGACAGTCAATTAGAAATTATGAGTCTGGGCCGGGCGCGGTGGCTCACGCCTATAATCCCAGCACTTTGGGAGGCTGAGGCGGGTGGATCACGAGGTCAAGAGATCGAGACCATCCTGGTCAACAAGGTGAAACCTCGTCTCTACTGAAAAAATACAAAAATTAGCTGGGCATGATGGTGCGTGCCTGTAGTCCCAGCTACTCGGGATGCTGAGGCAGGAGAATTGCTTGAACCCAGGAGGCGGAGGTTGCGGTGAGCCGAGATCGTGCCATTGCACTCCAGTCTGGGCAACAACAGTGAAACTCCGTCTCAAAAAAAAAAAAAAAAAAAGAAAGAAATTATGAGTCTGTTGAAAAACCAAAACCAAAGACTGAATTATCCAGAGAGAAACACTTCTTAGAGGAGACAGGCCGGGCGCGGTGGCTCACGCCTGTAATCCCAGCACTTTGGGAGGCCGAGGCCGGTGGATCACGAGGTCAAGAGATCGACACCATCCTGGTCAACATGGTGAAACCCCGTCTCTACTAAAAATACAAAAAATTAGCTGGGCATGGTGGCACGTGCCTGTAATCCCAGCTACTCAGGAGGCTGAGGCAGAAGAATTGCCTGAACCCAGGAGGCGGAGGTTGCGGTGAGCCGAGATTGTGCCATTGCACTCCAGCCTGGGTAACAAGAGCAAAACTCCGTCTCAAAAAATAAAAAAAAAAAGGAGACAGAAGAAATTCCTCAGGAAAAGTTCCAAGGACCACTCTCATGCCATTCACAATTGTGGAGGACACCCACCTACCTTGTCCATGGATGCCCGTCATAACAACCCCATTAACACCTTTGATTCCGTGGATCCCTGGGTGAATCCAACATCATAGACCTGGAGTTCTTCCAGTTTGGTTCAAGAACAGAAGAGCCAGAGCAGGAAATATTAGCAAACAGCCTCCTCTTCTTTCTCCAATCCTGAGATGCAGATGTCTTTGCCTGTCCCCACTCCCACTATCTGGTGATCTTTGTGCAGCAGGTATGTGCCTAAAGCAGGTCTCCAAGCCAGTTTCTATGTGCTGTCATCTGAGATGGGGTTCCCCTTGCCAGTTCTCACACCCCACAAGACCCACCACACTGATGTCCTGACTGGCACACACCAGCCTCAAGGAGGCCTTTCTTGACACTTGGAACTTAGATCTTGATTTCCTTTTGAGAGGTCAGAATTTGTTTAACTGGAATGTGGCACAGCACTGAATTCTTCTGCCTTGTCTCTTCCAGCTTCAGAACTCTATTTTGCTCCCACTTTGCAGTGGTCTTTGAGCTTCAACACTGTGGAACAGTATCTTTCCCCAGTGATGCCCCAGATGGAAGGTTTGAGCTCTGTCCCTGGGCCCTCTCCATACCCCACTAGTTTAATGCCTTGATGCCTCCTCGCATCAAGGCTCTATAGCCTACAATCTTTCATCCAACCAGGAATTCCAGAACCCATCAGACCCCCTAGATCTTCTGAACCAGTGAGATCAAAGTCTCCATTTTGAGTGGTACAGAGAGGAAAGTTCCCCCCTTGTGTTTACTTCCCTATTTTTGTCTGCCTACTCCAGTTTCCCCTTCCCCCTGAATGTTCAAGCTGCCTAACATCTTCCACTGCCTTCAAACTAGGGAAGCCAGAAAGTCCCAAGCCTCTTCATCCTCAGTTTACTTTTGTCCACTCTCTGGGACCTCTTTCCCTGAGAAGGCTGTCTGAGTGAATTAGATGAAACATGGTGGGTGGGTTATTTGGTATGTCATCTATAACCATGAGCTAGGATGGCATGCACTTGCCTGGGCTTAACACTGTTGCTTTCCATTACTGATTTTCCATTAGATAAAAATCACCTTATCATTCATTAGACAATCTACAGAATCTCAGTATTATGCTTCTGCACAATGTAAGTGAGGGTGTACATCCACCTACCCAGGAACTGAAGTGGGGCCTCCCCCACCCAACTTGTGGCATCTCCCCACGATTGCTCTTCAGACAAATCCCCATCTGTTTAGCTGTCATTCTGCTGAGGCCAATGCAATCTAAGTTATTTCATTTCCTTAGTCATTTTCATCTCCTTCCTCTCTCTCATTGTATCCTTCACCACAGACAGCTCTTCCAGTTTCCAATAATTGTTTCTGCTCCTTATTTCTGTGAGCTCTTTTATTCATTATATTCCTTGTTCCGTAGGACTTTATAATGGGTGTGTATATATATATATATATTTCTTTTTTTTACTTAATTCTTGTCTTGTCCCATCACTTATATGTGTGTGTGTGTGTGTGTGTGTGTAATTATATATATATATATATATATATATATACATATATATTTTTTTTTTTTTTTTTTTTTTAAGATGAAGTCTTGCTGTCACCCAGGCTGGAGTGCAGTGGCGTGATCTCAGCTCACTGCAACCTCCACCTCCCAGGTTCAAGCAATTCTCCTGTCCCAGCCTTCTGAGTAGCTGGATTTATAGGCATGTGACACCACACCAGCCAATTTTTGTATTTTTAGTAGAGATGTAGTTTCGCCATGTTGGCCAGGCTGGTCTTGAACTCCTGACCTCAAATGACCTGCTCTCCTTGGCCTCCCAAAGTGCTGGGATTACAGGGGGTAAGCCACTGTGCCCAGCCTGTGTTTTGTTTTGTTTTTTCTTTTTTTTAATTGACAAATAACAATAGTCTATGTGTGGTGTACAATATGTGTTTTGAAATATGTATACACATACTGTGGAATGGCAAAATCAAGCTAATTAGCATATACACTACATCACATACTTTTTTTGTTGATGAGAACACTTAAAATCTACTCTCTTAAGCAGTTTTCTTGTATATAATACATTGTGATGAACAGTAGTCAGCATGTTGTATAGTAAGTCTCTTGAACTTAAAAAAATAATTACTGTTAAGAGTCTCTTCACATACTGGTGTTAAGCTATATTTGTTTACAATGCTGGAAAGGAGCTTCCTTACTTATTAGGAACTTCAGGTGGACTGCTCATGGTTGCAAGTGTCTTCTTACTTACAAAGGAGATTGTGCCCAGCTGTTGAGAACTGTTTGGCTTTACTTCCCTCTGAGACCAGGCTTGGCTGTACAGCAGAGTATTCCCCGTTTATCCTCAGGGGATATGAGCCTAGACCCCCCAGTGGATGCCTGAAGTCATGGATAATACCAAACCCTGTATATACTATGTCTTTTTCCTATACATGCATACCTATGATAAAGTTTAATTTATAAATTAGTTACCGGAAGAGATTAACAACAACAATAAAAAAACAGAACATTATAAAAATACACTGTAATAAAAGTTATGTGAATATGGTCTCTCTTTCTCAAGATATCTTATCATATGTAATATTTTCAGATTGCAGTTGATATGGGCAGCTTGAAACCGCAGAAAGGGAATTGCAAATAAGGAGGGACTACCATATATTCTTGCTGAAAGTCCTCTGACTTTTTTTCTCTCCTCAGACTCACCCCACACAGACCGCGTTTCTCTCCAGTGTCGACCTACACACTCACTGCTCTTACCAGATGATGTTGCCAGAGTCGATAGCCATTGTTTGCTCCCCCAAGTTCCAGGAGTGAGTATACGGGTCATGGTTCTGGGTGTTACAAGTGAAGAACGCCTCAGAGGAAAAGGTCTCTATTCTTGCAGACTTGTTCTTTGTAAAATACATAGAATGTGCTATAAATTGGTTATTCTAAAGGGCTTCCTTTTAAGCCCTGTATCATGATTAATCTATCATGCTTGTTCAAAAAGATATCCAAGTTACAACTGAGTTGCTTTTCAAAGAAAAGTCTTCAGCCGGGCGCGGTGGCTCAAGCCTGTAATCCCAGCACTTTGGGAGGCTGAGGCGGGTGGATCACGAGGTCAAGAGATCGAGACCATCCTGGTCAACATGGTGAAACCCCGTCTCTACTAAAAATACAAAAAATTAGCTGGGCATGGTGGCGCGTGCCTGTAATCCCAGCTACTCAGGAGGCTGAGGCAGGAGAATTGCCTGAACCCAGGAGGCGGAGGTTGCGGTGAGCCGAGATCGCGCCATTGCACTCCAGCCTGGGTAACAAGAGCGAAACTCCGTCCCAAAAAAAAAAAAAAAAAAGTCTTCAAGAAATTTGAAGTGTTTGACTTGAAACGATAGGAATGTCAAGAGTTTTATGTTGGATTAGAAAGTTTCAAAATCAAACACGTTATCTCAGAGTGTCACTTCTTTTTCATTCCAAATCCTGTCTCCACTCCCACTTTGATTATTTACTATGAATTATCCAGCAAAACTAGAGTGAGAACAGTAATGAATCATTCTCTAACTGTGATTCATTCACCAGAGAAGAGACCTATGAGCCAGCATCCTACAGAAACTGTCTCACAGTGACCTCTGCCCTGCTGTATGAGTGTGCGTGCTGGTGTGTGTGTGCGTGCCTGTGTTTGGGATGGAGGGAAAACCGTTGCTTTACTCTTAGCCTGCCTTTGTAAAATTTCAGAACTGGATTCTTTAAACTAACTGACCATGGACTAGAGGAGATTTCTTCCTGCCGCCAGAAAGGATTTCATCCACACAGCAAGGATCCACCTCTGTTTTGTGTATGTATTTACACAGAAGAAACTGGGGCTGTGCTTCAAGCAGGGAGGACAGTCAGAAAATGCATCATCCTTTCTGATCCACACAGACCAGCCTTGTCACTTATCTTTCCAGATTTCCCTAGTGAGGATGGACATGAGAAGCAACGTGGGATAAGAATAGATTTGCATCTTAGCTCTGCCACTGAATGCCTTTGATTAGGCTACTTACCCTTCCTGGACCTCAGTTTTTCCATCTATAAAACAGGCATAATAATAACACCTACTGGCTGGGCATGGTGGGTCACACATGTAATCCCAACACTTTGGGAGGCCGAGGCAGGTGGATCACAAGGTCAGGAGACTGAGACCATCCTGGCTAACATGGTGAAACCCTGTCTCTACTACAAATGCAAAAAATTAGCCAGGCATGGTGGCACGTGCCTGTAGTCCCAGCTACTTGGAAGGCTGAGGCAGGAGAATTGCTTGAACCCAGGAGGCAGAGGTTGCAGTGATCGGAGGTCACGCCACTGCACTCCAGCCTGGGCTACAGAGCAAAACTCTGTCTCAATAAAAATGAAAAATAAACAAAAATAAAAATAACACCTACTTTGTAGGGTTCTTGAGATGATTAAATGAATTAATGTGCAGGAAGTACCAAATGCAGTCGCTGACTTATCAAATGTTACTTTTTCTTTCATCAATGTCAATTTCTAAGCCTGTACTTCAATAAGAGATTTGAATGTAAGGAAGAGAAGCCACTTAAGATAGGTAAATTAAGTATATTTACTATAGAATTTTGCTTAAATCATAAGGACTTTATGACCTTCCTACAGCGTTTTTTCCCTAAGTTGTGGTCTGTGATTAAAACGTTTAGTTGACAATAAGATCAGTTTGCCCCTCCAATCTGATGTGATGGTGTTGTATTACTCCATGCTGGCCATGGAGTATTATTTCTTTTGGGTTCAGAGAAAAGCAAGTAATATGGAAAAGGNTGCACAAGGGATCTGAGAGCTGACTTCAAGTGTTAGAAGAGTTGATATATAAAAAAAGGGATTGGGTGTATTTCATATCACTCCTAGCACTAAAACTAAGACTTCATGGAATGATGGTTTTCTGTTGAGTGTGAGGAAGAACTTTCTGACAAATCTGTTCAAAAATAGATCAGTCTGCTTTGGAATGTCTTAAGTGCTAGTATTTTGAAACAAAGACTACACAATCAGAAAAAAAAAGTCTGGGACGTTAGTACCCAGGTTTTCAGTTATAAAGACCCCTTTTGCATGCCAAAAGGGAACATTCTTCTCTGACTACCTCTGATAGTAGGTAATCTTTATTATTTGGGTGACATCATGGCCCAAAAAACTGTAATGAATTCAGTAATACTTTTAAATTAATATGTATTTTAGGGATGACACTGTTTGTTCCCAAGTTTAGGCACCAAACAAAGAATGAGTCTAGAATATACATACATTTTAAAAATAAAGGTATATGGGCAAACACTGATTCCATCTACAGGTGGGACTGGTGGTAGTAATGAGCCCCTGACTCTTACTACCCTTAAATAGCAGTCTGGCTTCCAGACTGAGAACCACTAGCCTAGGATGAACATTTTAAATAAGGGATTTTTAAAAATGATTTTTCAGACCAGGTGTGGTGGCTCACACCTGTAATCCAAATAGTTTGGGAGACTGAGGCAGATCACTTGAGGTCAGAAGTTCAAGACCAGCCTAGCCAACATGGCGAAACCCCATCTCTACTAAAAATACAAAATTAGCCAGGTGTGGTGGCTTGTACCTGTAATCCCAGCTACTAGGGAGGCTAAGGCAGGAGACTGGCTTGAGTCCAGGAGGCGGAGGGTGCAGTGAACTGAGATCGTGCAGCTGCACTGCAGCCTGGGCAATAGAGCAAGACCCTGTCTCAAAAGAAAAAAAAAAAAGACTTTTCAGAATTTTCTAGGACTTCACTTTCTCTCTTTTTTCCTATTGTAGAGCTGCAGCCATGTGACTGTTGTGGACAGAGCAGTGACCATCACAGATCTTCGATGAGCGTTTGAGCCCAACACTTTCTAAGAACGACAAAACCGTATCAATGTACTGTGGCCCCTTAATTTAAGCTTTCTAGAAAGCTTTGGAAGTTTCTGTAGACAGAATAGAAAGGGGCCATCACCTGACAAAGAGTTGATTTTTGCATTTAAGGTTTGAAAAGAAATAACTGAACATATTTTTTAGGCAAGTCAGAAAGAGAACATGATCACCCAAAAGCAACTGTAACTCAGAAATTAACTGTAAAGAATGGTATAATGAACCCCCATATACCCTTCCTTCTGGATTCACCAATTGTTAACATTTTTTTCCTTTCAGCTAGCCATCTAATTTCTCTGCCAATTTGTTTTTATTTACCTCTGGGCTCAATAAGGGCATCTATGCAGAACTTTGGAAGCCATTTAGAAAATCTTTTGGATTTTCCTGTGGTTTATGGCAATATTAATGGAGCTTATTACCATGGTGAGGGACAGTTCACTCCATCTGACCAGATGGTGAGGCTAACACATCCCGAAGAGTGATTTTGTCAGGAATTATTGTTATTTAACAAATATTTTGGGATATTTTTCCTCTACAATAAAATAACAATTAACTTATGTTTTTGTGCTCCAGAGTGATCCATTTGATCAAGCATTATATAAACAGGTTTAAAAAAAGCCATAGTTGTTTTGGAAAGGTGAGGGAAAAATGGAATTTGAGATATACTGACACTGAAGGTATGTCCCAGCTCACTTGTAATTATTTCATGTTTTTTCTCTGCCCGTTGCCATCTTCCAGAGGTGTGAAGTCATCTCTCTTCTTTTGGTGCTGTCTCAAGTGGGTCAACCATTCACTTCCTTTTTATGCCCTCCACATTTTGGCCAAGGATAATGAAGCCTTTGTTTAGAGTACCAGGTTACACTCCAATAAATGATTACATTTCCCAGCCACCCCACCTTACCAATTTCATTGTGTTGGCTATTCTTTTCTGACTAAGGCAACACCTAGGAAGATGCTCGAAGCAGCAATTGATACTGCATTTTTCTGTGAGCTGAGCCTGGTGTTCTAGGTGGCCTAGAAATAATGGTGTCATTTGTGACACCTCGAGTGAGGGCAGGAGAGTAAATTACTTTGAGAAGAGTGATTTCTTTGTACATCAGAATTCTATTTGGGGGGAGGAGGAATCTGTGAATGCATAAAAGCTTTGCTTTGTTTTAAAATGCTGTGTCCTAAATATGTTCTTTATTGCTGAGGTTAGTGGTCCTTGAACTTGTCCCCTGAAAGAGCTCAGTTCTCTATATTATTTTTCTTCTCTTAGGTTCTTAACTCCCCATATAATGGAAATTCCTTCTCTGCTATTTTTGGTATGGGTTGGTCTAGGGGCCAAGTGGGCTTGGGCAAGCCATTCCTTGCTGCGACTCACAGTAGCCTGGCTGTTCCACCATGCTCTAAACAGTCCTAAAATTGCCCAGTCCTGTGCTTTTGGGAAATCCATCCCCTTCTTCCCATTCTTTGTCTACCACTTAGTTTAGGGCTTTCTTACAGTTTACTTGGACTATAGCCACAGGCTTTTACCAAGTCTCTTTGTTTTTAGCATTTCTTCATTCTAGTCTGTTCTGCACACTTTGATCAGGAGAAGCTCCTCACATTATAGCCATCTTCATATTTTCTCTCTTGCTCAAAAACCTGCAATAGCTTCCCATTGCCGAAAATCTAAATGTAGCTTTTAGTCAGAACTTTCCACTTAAATTTCTTACCCCTGGCTACACATTCTGATACCTAGGGAGCAATTTAAAAAATACTGATGCCTGTGCTCTGTCCCCATCAATTAAAGCTGAGTCTCCAGGGTAGAGCCCCAGACATTGTTTCTGTGTTTGTCTTTCAAGCTGCTAGAATTCTCAAGTACAACCAGGGTTGAAAACCACTGCATTGGTCCTTGATACGTATCCTAAGAATTGTGATTTTTATCAGTCTCCGCCCAGGAAAGACATTCAGCCAGGTATACAACATATCATGCATTGCAACCACATTGATCACAGACTGATTGCCAAACTGCTGTATTTTCTTTTCTCTTCCTCTATGCACAAGATATCTTAGTAGCTAGATGGGTGCAGGAAATTAGTTTGTAGATCCCTCTTTGTATCTGGGCAGCCTAGCCATTGCAGAGGCACTCTGCATAGGACCGTCTCAGTGTCTCTGTCTTCACCCTACCTCTGTGGAAGAGACATGGAATCAAGCCAGCCCACAAGGAAGCCGTGAGACTGGGTAGGCTGGAGGGAAAGAGGAGGAGCCAGAGCTGTTGGGAAAGGAGGAAAGGAATACTGTGGATAAAAGGGACTGAAATATAAAACCTGAGGAAAGACATTATATTAAAAGGGTAATGACTATTTGCTTAAAGACTGACTCCTGGGTTCCTGAGGCTCAAAGACCAGGAGACTTTTCCACTCTTGCAAGCTGCATAAGTACCATACCTAATGTTCTGGGCTGAGGTGGGAGACAGGAGCAATGTCAGGTTGCCAAACAATGTCCCAGTTGCCCTGGGCAGCACAAACCCGGCAAAGTACAGAGAGAATCAGAGGAGCTGCTTTGCTGGGGGTCAGGGCAGAACTGGATTTTTTTCAGATGGTCACTTTCACATACTCCTAGTTAAATGGGACCAAAGGGAAAGAAGAAGGAAACCTTAAGCTTTTGTAATGTTGTCTTGGGTACCAGATACTATAAAAGGCAGCATGAGAGAAACATTCCCCTGGGCCAGTGTCGTAAAAGCTGTATTTCAGCTTTCATTTTGGTACCACAGAATTTAAAATTATAAGTGTCTATCCCCTTTGACTGTTGATGGCTTCTTTGAGGTTTTAGTTACCCCAGTTGAAAGAGAAATGTTTCATATTGGGGTTGAGAAGAATGGAGGCCACTAGGAGCAAAGCTTTAATGAGTGAAAGTCCAGTGAATCCTGCAATTTTAATATGTTTCCAATGGATTTTGAGAACACAGTTTTAGGACCAGAGTAGATGTTATTCTCTAGAAAATGTTACAGTTGGCCGGACACAGTGGCTCACGCCTGTAATCTCAGCACTTTGGGAGGCCAAGGTGGGGGGATCACAAGGAGGGGGGATCGTTTGTGACCAGCCTGGCCAACGTGGTGAGACCCTGTCTCTACTGAAAATACAAAAATTAGCCAGATGTGGTGGCACACACCTGTAGTCCCAGCTACTTCGGAGGCTGAAGCAGGAGAATCTCGAACCAGGGAGGCAGAAGTTGCAGTGAGCCTCGACTGTACCACTGCATTCCAGCCTGAGTGACAAGACTGTCTCAAAAAAAAAAAGGAAAATAGTTATAGTCAGCTTGGTATCGTGCCTCCCACCCCTCTCACTGTTTTAACCCCACCTGAGTTTGGAGGTCAGTTTGTCCAAGGATCTTTCAAGCATGTGACCCCAGAGTAGAACTTCTGAGTCAAGGATCATTTTTTCTGAGGAGCTTTGCTTAGGGCACTGGAAGGCCTGTTCAGATCAGGACTATTGGAATATTATCCTCTCAAGAGGAAGTGCCATGTTGAACAATTAAGAATTTGCTTCTAGGCCCAGCTGTATATTCAAGGAAAAGACTCAAGGAAAGGCCGGGCGCGGTGGCTCAAGCCTGTAATCCCAGCACTTTGGGAGGCCGAGGCGGGTGGATCACGAGGTCAAGAGATCGAGACCATCCTGGTCAACATGGTGAAACCCCGTCTCTACTAA